AAACACCTCCTGAACATCTGGATCTTCAGTTATCAGATAAAAAAGGTGAGCACACAGGTGCAGGTCCTCAACCAGCAGCTTGTCTGCGACATGTCAAACAGCCTCTGAGAAACACTGATTTTTAACATAAAACTGCATTATTCAGTGTTTATAGCAGTTTTAATCACTGGTCCTGTTTGTTTGGGAGAGGGGGAGACCTCGATGGATAATTCGGCTCATGGTAAAAACTTCCTGAACAAAGAACGCTGAAGGATTTCTTGCTGGGGAGAAGTTTCAGCTGGTTGCAATCTGCAATCCTCACAGCTAGATGCCACAAAATCCCTCTAAATCTTACACAGTGTTCCTTTATGCATAATCCTCTATATATATATATATATATGTCATTAAATCATGCATATTGATTTTTTCAAGCTAATAAAACAGTTTACAGATAAAGGAGATCTTGGTCTCACCGATACAAGCTCCTCGATGGTGAGGTAGTCGCTGAGATGAGCGTTGCGTCTGTAACCCCAGGACCCTTTGTCGATGGTCATGCAGTTTTCCCACTTGTGTTTGAGCAGGTGTCCCGGCTGGTAGCGATCAGCACAGGTGTAATATCCACCATGCTTGCAGATGGAGCCGTAGCCCCAGCGATCATTCGTCACCACCGTGTCTCGCACAGGACTGTGAAGACATGCAGGTAAATGTCACACTGGCTGTGTAAATGTTAAATCTAACACACACTAACTGTATGACTTAACTTAATTACCTGTCATTATAGAGCCAGGCTAAGAAACCTGTGCTGTTCCAGTACTTGTCAGGTGCGTTGCCGTCCCCATCAGACCACAGGATCTCTGGTTTGTACTTGGCAATGAGCTCATAGAGCTCGGGTAGAGTTTTAGTGGTGGGGAAGTAGTTTGTAGTGAAGACGTTAGCAGCGTCCTGTTCAAAGAGTGGGTTAAACCACTCAAAGAGAGAGTGATACAGCCCTAAACGCAGGTCACTGTGAGTACGGACGGCACTCGCCACCTCATCCACCAGATCTCTCTTTGGTCCAACATCCACTGCGTTCCAGTTCCAGGAGTTTTTTGAGCCCCAAAGTGTGAAACCTGAAAAACAGGTAAAACAGTATGTCTTCTGCACGGCTGAAAGAATGCAGCATGACACGCATACTCCAAATATGTGGAGCTGTATTCTTGTTTTAGCTCCTTAAAATGATCTTTTGTTACTGTAAAGAACTTAAACAATTAGAATACTAAGAGACAGGAAGTAGATCATGTCCTGTACCTTCATGATGTTTTGTGGTCAGGACAATGTATTTTGCCCCTGATGCAGCAAAGATGTCTGCCCACTCTTTGGCATTGAAGAACTCAGCAGTGAACTGCGGTGCAAAGTCTTGATACTTGAAGTCTGGAGGATAATTCTTCTGCATGAACTCAACAAATGGCTTCAGTTTTTGCTTCTGCCAGTAATACCTGCAACAGACAACAAACACAAAACAGGCTGAAGGAAGACAAGCCACTTAATGAAGGTGAGCAGTCTTATTCTATGATGGCACAATACATTTATATTTACTGTATGTCAAACAATAATTGCAATTTATATTTAAGGTTGATGTAACAAACTTTAAAACTGTTGATAAAGGGGATGAAGCTTGTTGAGAAAATAATACACAATTAAAGCCTCTGTATTGATTTACTTCCTAGTTAGTAATGACATGTAATATACTAAATAACTTGATATGGGTGAACACATTGAACCATGACGTGTTATAATAACTCTACAATGACCCCAGTTATTTAAGGTGGCTCTTATGGAGCTTTTATTGCATGATCATCATCAGCAGATGGAGTTTGTTTGCCCAGTGTCCTTGCATTTGTGTATTTCCACTTTTTCTGAGCACTTTAAGGACTTATCGCTAAGGTAAAAGTTGTGTATCTCACCACAAGGACTGTTAAGTTACTGTTATGGAGCTTTTGGTCATACCACGTGAACATCCTCAGGAGACGATCAGATGTGAGGTTAACATGGACAAAATTCTCTTGAAGGTGCTCAGAAAAAAAAGAGGAAATATGACCTCAAGTTCCAGAAGTGCTACTAAATCAGGGTGTCTACAGGTCCTTAAAAAGTCTTAAATTGTCCTAAATTTGGATTTAATGGGTCTTAAATATTTTCTGTCACATTACCTGCTTCACATTTTTTTAAATAAACACAAGAAGTTTGTGCTCTAGAGAAAGGATCAGCACTCAGTGAATAACCTCCTAAGCCCTATGATAAGGCTGTCTCTGGCGTCCCAGAGACACTCCCCTAATGCCAGGTCTCACTGCTCCCCGCACCAGCCCAATAACCTCCTTTACCTTACTTACACATGGCTTTCTCAGCCCAAACAGCACTGCCACCTTCAACCAAACCCAGGCTCCGAACATGCGAGCTCCAGGTAGAAACAGTGCTGATACTACCTTTCCTAGCACATTCACCATACTCTATTTCACACGCTACCTAGCATAACTCCAATATAAGCTAAAGTTAAAGGAGATAGATAACTCACAGGATCAGCAAACACACTCACCTTGCAGCATTATATATATAGTAAGTATTTTTTTTGCAGGCAGGCTTGGTCTTAAATTTCATATAAGGTTGTATTTAAAAGGTTTAAATAATAATCTTAAATTTAACATATCTGTAGACACCCTGTGAATGGACCCTGAACTTGTGGTGAGATTTTTCAGTTTGTGTGTAACTACATTGCATGGATGTCAGCTGCAGACTTCATTGTATTCAGGAAGCTTCTTTAAAATTATAGCTTTACAAGCCACTAGTTACCTCACACTGAAACAAGTAAAACCAGAGCAACGCTACCCCAGGGCGAAATCTAGTTTGGTCAGCTAAAGCTACTTAGAAAAACTAGCTCAAACTACTTTGTAAAAAATTACCAAACTGACAGTTTGATTGCTATGAGATTAACAAATTAAAAAAAAAAACAAAAAGCCACTAGACTGGAATTATTGCAGAAAGTGCCTACTTGTCTACAGGTCATATATAAATAAAAACAACAACATATCCCACTACTCATGGTAAAATGTGAGGAATGTGTCAGCTCTGGTTTGAAGACAATGTGCATCAGTCAGACACCTGACTTCAGAAACTAGGGTACTGGTGGGGGTTTTGCACCAAGCAGGATTACTCACTTAGCCTGTTAACTTCTAAAATATCATGCAACAACTTCTACTTATTACTCAGTAGTTAGTGGACCACAAATACTACATCTACGGACAATCAATCAATCACTTGTACAGCATCTACTAACTGTGAAATATCTATACTTCTTACATGTAGTAATGTAAATTCTGCCACACTAAGCCTGTATATTTATTATTATTATATCTTGCTTGTATTTTTTACTGCTTACAATCACTCAGGTGCAACATCAGTATTGTTAAACTGTACAATATTAATACTTCCATCAGGCAATAATGTGAAATCAGCCATTCAGTCTGTCTCTCATAATATTGTTTTGTGTTTTTATACTGTTTGCTTATCATACTGCTCTTTGTTTTTGTCCAGTTTACTCTTTTATGTACTTATATATTGCTTTGTATTTTTTTCCTCCGATGCCTCCTGTTTGCGCTATCCCTTTGCTGCTGTAATGTTGCTTTAGTTAGTTTCACAAATTCAGATTCAAAACATTAAAAACTGTAGCCAAATATTTTGTCACAGGTGAGCTGACAATCCAGCTTCCTGGAACAGCCTTGAGAAGTTACGGGTTGGTCAAAGAGGTTTAATTACAGTAGAGAAGCAATGGCATATAAAAACTCTTCTTTTATAGCCATTTATTATAGTTTCACTGGTTAACTGCTGAAAAAAAAAAAAATCATACAAAGCAAATTAACTACTTGTATCACTATGAAAACATGAAAGTAGTTGAACTACCAGTTGGCTTTTGCAAAATGTAGTTAAACTACTAGTTTACTGACATGTTCACTACTCCCCAACATTATCAAAACTCCCCGTAAACTCTTCTTGACCTGAACTTGAAACCGTGTCATTAAAATAGGAACTGAAACAGAAATAGGGGAACAAAGCCCATGACCCTAACTGAGAAAATGTGATGTTTGTCTGTAATTTGGGTGTATGTCTGCAGCTGTCTCGTTATGGTGAAGATCTAGATGCTGCTCTACCCATTATAGAGAAATACAAAGACCACCATGTGGCCATTGGGGAGGTGATAATGTAGTATTTCTTGTATGACTGTGCTGTCCTGGCTTTGCATTTATATTATAACTTTTTGCATCAGTTTTAGGTTGGTTTGGATTTTACACCCAGATAGAGAGCCATAAGCAGGTCATTTGTCAGGCACAGATAGCCAATGAACTGGATCTCCCACTGAGTCATACTGCAGGACTGTAATTAGATGATTACTGATGATATTAACTAACTTTACAAGGTAGTGCATGTACTAGAGCTGCTTGACCTTCAGGTTAAAACAGTGTCATTAAAATGGGTATTGAGATAGATATAGGGAGCTAAAACTCACCAGAACCACTCGCTGCCGAAGCTGGGGACAGAGAAGACCCCCCAGTGTATGAAGATGCCAAACTTGGCCTGATCGTACCAGTCCGGCAGCGGCCTGGAGTCGATGGATTCCCAGGTGGGCTCATATTTAGCTCTGCAGGTGCCGATCAGCAGCATCGATAACAGGAAAGAAACCGTTAAAACCCCCATTTTAGATCAAAACTCCCTTTGTCTAGTGAAGCGAAGCTATCCAGAGGACACGGTGACTCTCACATGATCAAGCACACAGCTGACAGTAAAATAATAAAGGGAAAGTGCAGACATATGACAGGAACAAGAGGAGGAGGAGAAGTTAAAGGTGCCGGAATACAGACCGGAATGTTAAATATGCTGACCGTTGGTGCACGGGGACACTCAGCCAATCAGAGTCAATGGAACGCCGCCTCCGCGGGCAACGCTGCGCTGTACATCTCGCGCTCCTTTGGATCTACGCATGCGCGGTCCGTCTAACTTTGCGGAAGAAGGTGATGTTTTGGTTGTGGACGGTTTGAATGCCTGTCCACATGCATGGATACGTGGACTGTCACTGTCATATCTCTTCCGGGGATTTTGACAAGGTATTTGAACACTTTAAAGAATATTTGTGGATATTTTATCTGCTGTTTTTCTCATAAGCGTTAACTTTTACTGTTTTTATTATCAGGACATAGAGGAGGTGGTAGAGAGTTCAAAGAAGGTGAGCCACCTCAGCTAATCGTCCATACATTGTTAATATTGTGTGTGTTTAACTAATTTCTTTGCTCTATTATTTCCAAGGCTGGAATATTGGCGTTATTAGCTGTAGCTGAGCATGCTGGGGAATTTGACAAGATAATCGACTTGTCACAGAGGTAACTATAACCATTACGTTGACATAATTTGGATTTTAAGTGTTACTTAGTTTGGTTTAGTTGCACATACATGTATATAAAATATAAGAAAAAGAAATTTAAAGTTAAATCATTGTGCAGGAGAGGTTAGAAGCCAAATATGGCCTAAGAAGACACCTTCCCTATTAAATAACAATCATACATAAAAAGAAAAATACATAGACGAAGATAGTATGATTGAATGAGTTCCAGACTAAGAAGAAATACAAATTTGTTAAACAAATACAATTTACCCCCCCAAAATACAAATGAATCAGTAAGGTGTTAAGAGTTTGTGCAAATTAGAGTCCTTTTCAGATGTTTTTGCATAACGATAATGTAAATGACTGTAGAGATGGAAGACAATTGTTCCAAAGAAATGGTCCTCGGTATTTCAGTGAATATTGATTAAGAGATTAAGAGAGGTCCGACAAACTGACAACACTTGTCTCTTTGTTCTGACGTTTTCACTCTTTCTCAGGTTTCCAGGGTTTATTTTTCCCTGTTTAGGAGTCCACCCTGTTCAAGACACTTCCCCTGAGCAACAGAGGGGGGCTTCTCTCCAGGTAGGCTCGAGCGTAAAGGGTCAGCTCACCCAAATCACCTGTTGCTCTGTATAGCCAGACAGGTAGTTTTGGTTTGAGAACTTTCTCTAAGATGTCTACCACAACCTACAACATACAAATTAGTAGGTCCAGGTCTACCAGAGTGTCTGGCATCACCCATCTCCTCTGATCATATTCTTCTTTGATGTATACACCTCATTAACCTAGAATTTTCATTCTCTTTCTCCATTTTTTAGTGATGCATGATGATATAGGCATATCATCAGCCAATATCGGCTTTAAAGTGAACTATTGGAATCAGCCAACATGCTTTGTCTTCTTTTGCACAATGAATGAATATTACATAGATTGAAAAGTATTGTATTTCATGTCTCCATCTGCTGTTGGGCCATCATGATAAGAGTATACCTGCATAATATGATGTTAATTTCACGACAGAAGAGACTTGATGATCACTAAAATTAGACAGGGGGAAAAGCGGGTATATTGATATCAGTTATCAGTCAAATTAGTTGTTTTATATCAGCATATCGGCAAAAAATCTAGTATTGTGCATCCCTACCATTTTGTTATTTTATTTTCGTAATCTTATTTCAGTCTGTTTTGAATATATGCTATCTATTGCATGTTTTTATAAATACTGTGGGGGGCATTTCTTACCTTTATTCAACAAGGACCGTGGAGAGCTGATAGTAAATGAGGGGAAAGATAGGTGCAAAATGACATGCCAACACAGACCCTCAGATGGATGTGCTTTATCTTAACAGTTTGACTGATTGAAAATCACTCTGAGACAAATTTGTGTTTTTGGGCTATATAAATAAAATCGTCTTTACTTAACAGCAGCACATCTTCCAGAAACAGTATCCTCAGTACTCTGGATGATCCACAGAACATGCTGTCAAAACTTTCTGTAGGGACGAAAGTAGCTCCAATGAAAACTGCTCCCAATGAGGTTCCGGAGTAACAGGGACATTTTGAACACACAAATCCAATCACACCCACTGTCATGGGATGAAGGCAGAAATCTCAGACACATATCTCAAAACCTGGACAATTCCATGAGCCCTAACTGAGAAAATTAAATGTTTTTTGTATTTCTGCAGTTGTCATGTTAAAGTGAAGGTATTAAGGGTGTTTTCTCTGTCCTTTCTGCAGGATCTAGATGCTGCTCTACCCATTATAGAGAAATACAAAGACCACCTTGTGGCCATCGGGGAGGTAATAATTATGTAGTATCTGTATCTCTGATGTGACTGCGCTGTCCTGGCTTTCTTTTGTATTAACATCAACTTTTTTTCTGTCGTTTAGGTTGGTTTGGATTTTACACCCAGATATGTCAGTGGTGAGACTGACAAAGAGAGCCAGAGACAGGTCCTCATTCGTCAGGCATAGATAGCCAATGAACTGGATCTCCCTTTGTGAGTCACACTGTAGGACTGTAGATGGATGATTATAGTAGATGATATTAACTCAGGTGGTAAAGTTTGAATTCAAGCTTTACAAAGTAGTGGATGTACTAGGGCTGCAGCAAAGGACATTTACATTGTCGATTAATCTGTTGATTATTTGCTCGATTACTTGATTGTTTGGTCAATGAAGTGTCAGAAAACATAGACAAATGTCGAGCAGGGTTTCAAGTCCAAGATCAGCTTTTCCTCAATTTTTTATTTTTTTTTTCACAACTCAAAGATGTTCAGTTTACTGTTTACTTCAGTTTACTACTTTAAGACACTTGAATCAGACTTTTTACTTTTTTTTCTTCAAGAAAATGAACTCATCAATTATCAAATTAGTTGCTGATTAATTTGATATATGTAAAGTAGGGACATCCCAATATTATATCAGTTACATAAGTGAAAGGTAATATAAAGTGAAAATATAAAATAAATAAATAGTAATAAAATAATAAATAAAATAATATAAAGGGAAAAGTATTCCACACAGTGATTAGATGCTCCCACAAAAACTTTTGTAGAAGCATAATTTTGACATTACGTCATCATCAGGTCATTTATGTCATTATGTCGTAAATGTGCTCAATAAATCTTTTTTGGGAGCATCTAATCAGCATGCAGGCACATTTTTTTCTGACATTTGAATTGAAGAAATCCACTCACAATTCTTGACTTAGAGAAAACAGTCAATACTTATTTAACAAACAGCTGTTGGTGGCGTTCCCAGGATTTGAAGATGTGTTTGGCAGCATAAAAGGAGATTTTCAAGAGCTTCTTTAAAATATTAGGCTTGGAATGTGTTGTAACATGAAATTCATATTCTGTTCCTTAATCAGTATTCTTTCATAATATTTTTATACTTGTTTTATTTCTAGAAATGTTCATTCACGATCTGCAGGAAGACCCACCATCCACCTCCTGAAGGAGCAAGGTAACCAGCAAAGTTTAGATTGTCTTCTGTTTACTCTTGTATTTGAGAAGTGAGCTGCAATTCCCCTGACATTCCACTAGGTGTCGAAAAAGCCCTGCTTCATGCTTTTGATGGGAAACCATCTGTTGCTATGGAGGGAGTGAAGGCTGGATATTTCTTTTCTATTCCACCATCCATCATACGCAGTGAACAGGTACAACAGAGCACCTGATCATGTTGAATTGACACTGTATCATAACCCAACCTGTTCAATATTTAAACACTAACACATCAACTCTTACATACACATATTCTTATTTGTAATTTGTGTGTAAATGAACAAGAAAACATGGATTTTAAAGACACAGTTCAAGATGTTTGAATATCTTTGTCCTTTGTATGTGAACAGTTAAAGTTTACACCCCTAAACTGCTGACATGTTCTCCTTAGACAGCACTGACATGTGTACTTGGCTCACTGTATCACATTTGATGTTAATGATTAATGATGGTTTCTTCATGTATTTTCCACCAAGAAGCAGAAACTAGTGAAGCAGTTGCCGCTAGAGAACATCTGTCTAGAAACTGATTCACCTGCTCTCGGCCCAGAAAAGCAGGTGAAGTGTTTTTATCCTCATTTGTTTTGCATGTTTTTATATGGGTAATATTGCAATATCTCCTTGGCTTTTATTTTACAGATATATTTGTGACACATTAAACTAAAATCTGTTGTATTCAAGGTTCCAACGGTCATGAAATTCCTGGATAAGTTAAGTATTTAAAGGAGCTATATGTAAGAAATCTAAAGCAAATAGTCGTAAAATCCTCCTAATATGTCACAGAGACTAAGGAATAATGTTCATATAGCATACTGATCTCACCGACAACAATAGTACAGCCAGAATATTCTCATTTTAAAAAATACTTTACGGTCCGCAAATCATGTTATTTATGATCGACTTATGTTCGATTATGTTTTGAATTTTGTTTTGGCCTGTTGCGCCACCCACCGCCATCTACCAGTCACACAGTCAGTAGAGTCTCAGCATCAGTTACAGTTACAACTGAGCTACAGCAGCCGGCTCCTCCGCTGTATCCCGGCAGCAGTGTTAGCAGCAGAGAAGCCAGACTTGCTCGAACGGTCCGCTGGAAAACCGAAGATCAAGGACGCGGCGACACGGCCCTGCCACAGCTGCCCGTGGGCAAACAAATCCGTCTCCAGTGTGCCGCTGTCCAGCAACCTCGAATCTGTAGGGGAGGGGGGGCGGACACGACTCGCGGCAGTATTTTGAATTTGAGTGCAGTAACCGTTTTGGCCACATTCTTACATACAGCGCCTTTAAAGAAACTGTTTTCCAGGCCTTGAGATGGTTTGGAATTAACAGTTTTTGGCCTCTGTATAATATAGGTTAAGACAAAGATCTGTTCTTTGTATTACTTATTTAAAATCTAGTGCTGCAATGCATGACCATTACAACATCTCTAGTATCATGTGTTATGCATAAACCAGACTGGCACTGTGTCATTGCCAAGGCTACGCCCCCCTTTTGAGGGAAAGAAACGCGCTGTCACATAAAAAGAGAAACAGGAAAATGCTGGAAATGCTGCTCCAACTAAATCTCCACCTGTAGATAAAACAGTTGATGATTAACAGGTTAGTTATTTACAGACACTCAGCACAATAATACCTGGTGATACAATCAAACATGCATTGATTGAATCATCAGCTGTTGTGATCCAGACATCCACCCATGAAATATCTGGCGTGTGTGTTGGCTCATTGATCCACTTGGACGGGGGAAGACTTCAGGAACATGACGGCAATCAACTTTTATTTATCACGAATGTTCAGGGTCAGGCAAGGTCACAAAACAGTTATTATTAGACATTAATCCAACACACATCACATTGCACTAACATCTACAGGATCTTCTGGTTTATATTCCCCAAAAAAGGGTGCGATTTGACAGGTTGCCAAGTGAGCATTTGTGCCGGTCTGGTCTGTTGGCACATGCAGCTAGTTGGTGGCAGGAAGGTCAACAAATGAGCTAAATTGGCAAGCGATAGCAGTCTTAGCTTATTTCGTGAAGTATGTGTTATATAATATATATATATAGCTGTATTGTAATATAAGCCTACCCACTTTAAATTAGGACTTGCTGGAGTTTCTTGAGGACGTTTCGCCTCTCTGATTGACTTGGTCAGTCATGGGATCCCTCCCAGGCGACTTAACACCCGTTCTCACCTGGACCCATCTAACCCTAACGACACAACAACTCACATGTGACCTCAGCAGAGCTGAAGAAGCTTCTTAATGTCACCACCACCACGACGCTGTAAAGCTGTGTTCAGCGTGATGACGTTCTGTCATCTCATTTAGCCACTTGTTAGCTACTGCCTTTTTTTAAGACGCATGAAAGCTTCAAAATTCACGAGTTGGGTATTTACTGACTTATTTTATGTCATGGAACAAAACCTGAAAGTCTTTTAAGCTTTGATGCATCTAACCAAAAACCCATTCAAAAAACCCACTGACTTTGAGACGATGGAACTGCGAGTGCAAAGATGATGACTCATTTCTGGGTTTTCGGACTCATTCCTGGGGCACTCGATCATGGAAAACTTTTGAGAAAGTAATTGGTAAAAAGGTGTGGGAGCCCTGTGTATTTCTTATGTGTTTACCATTAAAACCCCTAAAGTTTTATTCACCTGCTCATGTCACATCCTTGTTCTTCTGTGTCCTGAATGCAGGTGAGAAATGAGCCCAAGAACATCTGTATCTCTGCAGAGTACATCAGTAAAATCAAAGGAGTGTCGCTGCAGGAGGTGATGGAGGTGACGACACAGAACGCTCTCCGACTCTTCCCAAAAATAAAAGCTGCCATCAGACCCTGACATAACCTTTAACGTTTATTTTTATCAGTCTATAATATCTCTAATTATAGCTCAGTAATTTAAAGTGGAAGTCAGATTGATCCAAGATGCTCTAAAGTGTAAATAAAAACCTCATCAGACGACGTGTGAATCAATTTTAGAGGTGCCTATTAAAAGCTAAAACACCTACATGTTGACTAACTGTACTTACGTGCTGAAAGTCATGTATTTATCTCCATTTATTATTAAATAAAGGAAGATGAGATAATTTAACACACAGGTTGGATATTTTTCATGTGCGTGATGCATCTGAAATATTCAGCACGTCATGAACACCTTGTCATGCAACAAAAACAACAGCCAACATCTAACATGGCTCATTTAAGCATTGTAAAGTGAATAATCATGATGTGACAGTGTGTTGTTTTTTATAGTTATTCACATCAACAGATCTATGCAGAGCAGTGATGTCATTAAGTAAGTTATTTCACTGGTTACTTATACTATTTATTTCAATGTGGTTGCTCTTTGTCTATAATGGAAAGGTGATTCATCTTCATTTAACAGCAGCAGCTCTAGCCAAACTCAAATGGCCCTGGATCAGTGGCAGTTCACAGCTGTGTGGGGTATTGCTGCCTTCAAGTGCTCCTCATAAGATCCTACTTTACAGCTCTGTGGTGTTAGGGCGCCAGCTTACTGTTGAGTACTTCAGGTATGTTTCACTGCTTCAGACAGTCTTTAATTTATGTCATATATTGATCTGAATTCTGATTTATGGGCTCACCCAACATCAAAGACACTGACACAGCCATACGAATCAACAGCTGGCAGGTACTGTCTCACTTATTATCAGCACAGTAGAAGTAGGAGCAGTAAGTTACCATGTGCTTAATGTAATTTAGCCTCTGATTTACTATATTTCCACAATAAAATTTAAAATGCAGGCTACTGTTTTTTGCTCCTATTTCCCACATTATATTCATTTCTTGTTGCAAAATAAATTCAGTGTAAAGCTAAAGCCTATTATTATTTTTAATCAGTCTGAATAATAATGATAGATAATGATAATAGTAAAGTTAAGCATTCTTTGACATTTTATTAGGTTTCACTACACACCACACACATGCTTATGTTTATACATATGCACCCCTGACCTAAATGTAAGATACAGGTAAGAGAAAATAAAGACGGAAAATAACTGCATTTTAAATATGTCACGACTTTCATCTTGACAGTTATAAATATATCAACTTTGATTTTACTTTTGTTTTATGTTATGACCGCACACAGGGTGTCTATTTTCGGTCACATTACCGTGAAAATTCCTCTAGCCTGACAGACACAGTGACTGTTTGCAATCATTGGACATATCAAAGAAATGAATTAATAAATAGCATTTATGACAGCGATGAGATTTTGTTTTCATTTTACATTAAACACATAAAACTTAAACTCACCCAGTTGTTGTCATTTTAACTTACTGTTCATTTTGGACTGACGGCAGTGCGTTTACTTGGAAAGAGCACTTACACGTGTCTCACACATATATATACATTATGTGTATTTCCATTAGCGGTTTGGGCTTAAATTTCATATAAGGTGGTATTAAAAAGGTCTTAAAAAGCCTTGAATATAACTTGGTTATATCTGTAGACATCCTGTGCATAATATGCCCAAAAAAAAGCAACAACACATATTTCAAATATTGCATCATGATTCACGATTTCAGTGGAAATGGAATTTTTTGCAATTCATTTTCTATATCTGTCTGTCTAGGATATATGTATTTTATTTATTTTATATAATTTATTATATTTGTATATTGTATTTTATTATATGTACATAATATTTTATCATACATGTTTATTTTTTGGCTCTGTACCAAACAAGCATGTTTCCTAATGTCTAGAATATGATGTGTAGGCATTTCTGTAGCACCACAATTCTTAATTTCAAATGATATGTTGTGACACATTTTACATTCATCAAAAAATTACAGCTCCTACAATTTGAATATTGCTGACCATATTCGATTTCGTAATATTTCAATACATTGTGCTGGCCTATTTTGTTTTTCCATTTTTAGAGTTTTATTCTGAGTTTAATCATAAAGAAATATTTCTGAACAAAGGTCTTTTTAAATGCACTTAACTCTGACATTTATTTGATAACGCCTTGCATATTATTTTTAACTTTTAAGTAGTTTTGTAAAGACAAAGAATCGCCTTTACCTCAGTTGTTATTTTTCCGGATTTTCCTAATAAACCTTGAACGCAGCATGTGGTTAGTTCGCGGGCTGCCCTTCCTGGACACGTCAGCCGTCACCCACGTTGAGGACGCGACTGACAGTTTGTCCAGCCAGTGGGGAGGGCTGGTGACGGCCGGAGCCCGCGGCTAAACTTTGCCTCATTGGTCAGTGTTCGCCAAACTTTGTCGCGGCGTCGCCTCGTGGACAACTTGCACGTCCTTCAGCGCGCCACTCTTCCTCTTTTTGTTGAGGTGTTTACAAGAAAGTGTGAAGTCGAGTCAAGGTGAAGGGCGGCTCGTGCTGCAGCTGCAAGATGAAGGACTTTAGTTAGAAAGCTTGTGTTGGTGAGTTAAAGATTTAATGTTTCAGTGTTAAAATCATGATTAATTTATTGTTTCATGTTGATTCAAAACTTTTCAGTGTTCATGTTTGTGTGTCTCTGCGTCTTATCGCACAGCCAGGTTATTAACTTGAACTGTATCAGAGTTTGATTAGGTTGTTTTTGTCCTGCACGCTGCAGACATGCACTCATGCTTCATGCTACACACATGGGAACACACACTGATGTTCAGACACTGATGAGACTCTGACCTGGGAGCCTGTCTGTGTTCCCACGGTTCTGTGTTCCCAAGCTCACTGTGCTCTTATCATGACTCAGTAAGGTGACCCTTTAAAGGTTTATGTTCTCAGATGTTTGGTCAATGTGTTGAAGTCACCCACCTACAGCTTACAACCCTCAGATGCATTTGAAATCCACGCCCTGTCTCCACAGCTGCTGAGCAGATAAAAGTTCAAACTTTATTTGAGACGTCCGCAGCTCATATCTAGAGATGCAGGACCTTGGGAACATAGATGTGACTCCCTTCACCTCACTCCTCCATCTGACCTCTGCTCCTGAAACCACCCTGTTATTCCTGACTGTTGCAGGTCTGATACCATCGATGCCATGACAGGTGACGCAGTGGTCTGGAGGGGTCTCTCCTGGATGAAGCAGGCGGCCAGCACAGCCCCACATGGCGGCCAGAGGCTGGTGAACTTCCATCACGCTGCCGGATCAGCCAGGGTGAGCGAGCCAGCCGCGGTTTGGCCCGTCTTGTGGCTGCAGAGCCGGATTGAGTTTCACAAACATGCAACCCAGATTCTTCCTGAGTCTGATTCTGCACCATCACCTCGTCCACACCACAGCACACACACTAGAGGGTTTATAGATCCTGATGAGAGCGGGAATTTATGGCAAATAAGTTAAGTTTGCCGTGTTTCCAAATGAATTTGTGGTTCTCCACTTTTCCGGCTTGTAACCCTTAAAAATAAAGGAGTGTCTTCTTGTGGTGCTCCAATTAGTGATTTTCACCTTGAAACCTTTCTGATTTGTTGAATTTAAAAAATTAACAAAGACCTGAAGGTAAAACTATCCCATATTGCACCTAAAATGGAGCAGAACAATTCCTTTTTCTCTTCTCTTGCCCTATTATGCTCAAAATCACAATTCTTAGATAAGTTTTACCTCCTGAAACAGTAAAATCAAATTCTCTCCATCATATGTCAGAGTAGAGTCAGTGTTTTCCCAAATGTTGTGTAGAGTTGTCATGGCCATGTCATCAACCTACTGGAGGTGCTCAGCAGAGAGTTGTTGTCGAGACCGTGTTGACTGCCTTAAGGGCCGGGACACATGACACACATCTTTAACCACCTGGAAAACACGGGGTCAGTCACTGGGTGCTCCTCTGCTAACTTTCAAGGGTGCAGAGACTCCTTAACTAGGCCTGTGTTATAGCCTTCTTACCAGAAATCCTGAGTTCGGAGCCCATCGTCTTCCAAGCGTTGATTTTAAGTTTGTTTTAGGCCTGAAATGTTGTCTGTGGGTCAGATGTAAAGCTCTGGGTACCCTTGCACTACAGTGATCAACTTCTGCTCCGTATTTATCACTGACTGATATTTACAGAACAGGAGAAAGACATCTGCCAGCTGTGATTGGTTGTTTCTCGTCACATTAAATGCAGCGCATGTTGCTGCGTTGAAAAAGTTGAACTTAATATACTTCATGGAGGCTGTCGCAGCCTGAAAAACAGGCACTTGAGAACACTTCCAAGCTGCGATGGCGTGGCTGTGGCCCTGACGGGACCCGACAGGTCGGGCCGGGTTCGGATAACAAATCAGAAATTTTGCTCAGGTACAGTTCGGGTTCGGCCCACTTGACATGCTGCTGTGTTGTGCTATGGCCCATTCAAGTGCTGGAATTTGTTATTCACGTGACGACGCCTGAATGCAGCACAGGCCAATAGTTACATTTCAAGCAGAGGTGGTTAAAATTCAGAGTGAACTAATGAAAATGGAGGACGCTAGATAAAACTTGCTATCAGGAAAGCTTACACATATTTACACACTGTCCATGTGTGATCACTGTAAACAGACAAGCTGTAACCATGGTAACAACAACTATGTCAGGCAACAAACTGCGTCGGGCTCAGGGCGGGTTCGGACTTAAAAATCAGAAAAAAAAAATGTAAATAAATAAATATAGTAAACTTACAAATATAAAAGTGGGATGGAAATAGAAGGGGGGTATGTATTTTAGAGTCCCCTTACTGCATTAACAAACTCACTACAGGTCTCCACCTCTTTATAAATGGTGGTGTTTGATGTCTCAGTGCATATGTGATTTGTTCCATCTCATACACTTCCTGTATTTCTTTAGTCCTGATGTTGTATGTTGGAGGTTCAGGATTCAAGTTCAAGCAGTTGAAGTAGTTTTAAAGGAACAATTCGACATTACCAGCACCACACTACATCGTTTTTGAGGCTTTTACACTTTGGTTTTTGTGCAGATTAAACAAATGAGATATAAAGTGTTAAAAGTCCAGTGTGAAGGATTTAGTGTCGTCTAGCAGTGAGGTTACAGAACTGAAACTTCTCCTGTGTGCCAAGCGTGTAGGAGAACTACTGTAGCGGAAGCAAAAATGTAAATGACCTGGTCTAGATCCAGTTTTTGATTTGTCTGTTCTGGGTTATGTAGATATAAACAGCTCATTCTAGGGTAAGGACAACTGATTTTGTTACCTTTGACAGAGCCAGGCTGTTTCCCTCTGCTTACAGTCCTCTAGCTAAGCTTAGCGAACCAGCTGCTAGCTTTGTATTTATTGGTCAGACATGAGTCAATCTGTAGCTCACAGACTATTTCCCAAAATGTTGAACTATTCCTGTACTCATATGATTCGTGTTTTGTCGTCCAGAAGATGTTCAACAAGCAACGAGAGGTCTGCGCCCACAGACCAATAGCAGCGCAGCTTCACAGATACTCCACCATGGGAGCTTGTTTCAGCACCTGCTTCATCGGCAGCGTAAACAGTGGGCAGACGACCTGCGGCGGACTGCCCAGTGCTAAACGTCTGAAGTACCACAGGGACTGGTCACGTCAGCTGTTCTGTGGACATACGAGGTTATTTAACCAGGACAACTCCACAGTGGGACGTCTGACACAGGAGGACGTTGATAAAGCGGGAACTGCCAAGAAAGCAGACAATAATCCATATAAGCAAGTGGTATTCACACTAACACTTTTATTTATCAGTGTTTGAAGAATATGGATCAACTCTCTGTGTTTCAGTGTCGTGGTTATTGTTCCTGCTTCACACAAGTTATATTCTTTCCTTGTGTTTCAGCTCAGTGACAGATCCAAAGAGAGGAAGGTGCCCGTCACACGGTTAGGACGGCTGATGAGTTTTGGAGGTAGGTGTGTGTACTGGTATACTGGTCATGTTACAAATGAAAAATTATATTAATATCACCATAGTTCCCATTACCAGTCAGTGTTAGATTACTGGGCAGCTGCCAGTGGCTGGTAGAGAGTGATCTAGAGTGATCTTGTGTGAATGTAAAGCAGAACATGGCTCTATATGCATGTTTACATGCTTTTATTTTTCTGGAACTTAAAAGATGCCCTGTGGAGTTTTCGCATCAGAAAAACAAACTTTAAGTCTACAGTCAGTGTTTCTGACTAAAAACACATTGTGTGTGTGTGTGTGTCCTTGAGGTTCAGCAAATGTGTTGAAATAATTTCCTTCCTTTAAAAAGCACTTGCAAAGCAGATTTTTTTTTTTTTTTTTTCTTCCCCGAACAGTTTGAACCAGCAGTGTTTACATCCGTGTTTCTTCCTCTTCTCTGCTTTTGCTGGTGCATCGCTGCATTTCTTTGGTGCATTACTGCCGCCTGTAGATCAGAGTGGAAGCATATGAAGCCATCAGCAGGAATGTGTGTCATGTCAGTCACGTGCACAAAAACAAATAAAACACCAAGTACAGTAATTTCCAGCACAGAGCTTTTATCTTGAAGTGCCGTTTTCTGCTGTAGAGTGAGTGACTAACAGACAGCTACTAGCTCAACGATATGCTAAATGCAAGTATGATGCTGAATGTATTAAACTGTGGGAACTAATGACTAAGGAGAAATCTGGACCAGTTGGGATCCACTGCCTTAAAGGGTAACTAGCATTTTTCAACCTGGACCCTGTTTTCCCATGTTTTTGTGTCTAAGTTACTGATGGGAACGACAGTTTTTGAAACTGGTCCAGTATTGAGTGAGGCGAAACAGGCTGCAGTGTAATCCCTGCCGCCAATTGAGCACTTTCAATATGTGTCTAATAAAAGTGCTTGTTTTTTTTCCACTGAGTGTCTGACAGCATTATGGAAAGGATCCCTACAGAGACAGACCTTTTTGTTGAAGTGTAAGATCCTTTTTGTTTAACCAGAAATCACTATTGCCAAATGAACCAGACTCCCTTTAAACAAACAGTGATTTTATCATCACTAAACACACTTCATTTAAAGATGACAGAAGCAAAATGAATGAAACTCCCAAAAGCTGTCTTGGTTCGTCTTTCCACTGTTCCAACAATCACCAACTCTGGTTTGGTTGAATTAAACCCTTAATTCATCCAGTTAGATGTGAAAATATTGTGGCTCTATACACGCTAAAATTACTCATTATTTAAATGGAGTCTGGTGGGTTTGGCGATGGCAATTTCAGGCCTGTTTCTGTTTTTCCTACAGAGACAGTCCTTTTAAGAGAAAGGACTGTCTCTGTAGGGATCCTTTCCATAATGTTGTCAGGCTGTTGGTGGCAAAAATAAGCACATTCAGGAGACGTAAATTGACGGTGCTCAATTTCCTGCAGGGGTTACTGTACATTGCAGCCAGTTTTGCTGCTGCAGGCTGCAGTGCTGTTGTGCAACACTGGACCAGTTTAAAAAACTGTTGTTTTCCAAAAACCTGGGAAAACACGGCCCAGATTGGAAAATACCAAAGTTATCTCTTCACACTACTAAGGGTCAGAGAGTCCACAGGATACCTTTAATTCACTTTTTTAAGAATAAAAGTATAGTTTTAAAAGTTCAGAATTAGTCTTCTGTATGTTAGAGTTGAAGCCATTAGTCATGTAGTTGATCGATTGAAAATTTATCTGCAACAATTTCAAGTCTTTTTTAAGCAAAATTCCCAAATTAATTGGTTTCAGATTTTTATAGTTGTTTAATTTTGTTTTTCTAACATTTTATAGACTAAACAATTACTTGAATAAATATTACAAATTATTAAAAAAATATATTTTTTAGTATTTTTTAAAAAAAATAATATTAAAATATATTTTTAAATAATCATTCTTAATTGTCTTTTGTGTGTGTTTGTTAACTAGCATAATGTTGTAGTCACTCATTTGTTTGAGTTATATTTATTTATTTTTTCCACTGTACAAAAAGAACTAGCAGCTATTTTTCATACACGAGTTGTGTAAACAAGTTGTGCAAATGACATTGGCAGTGCTGGCAGTTTCTCCCGAGCAGCAAGGGCTCATGGGAGATAAACAAGGCGCTCTGCAGGATCTCGACACTGCAGAGTTTATGTGCTTTCATATTAAGTGCTACTAATGACACAAATATAATTTTATCCTCTTAAAACTACTTTTACAAGCAGAGTTGTTGCTTATTTTTATGTGTAGTTAAGTGGTTGAGATCAAGATTTAATTTTGGATTGAGTAGAGAGGGTTTTGCATTGATGACCTCGGTCACCAGTTTTGGAGAGCTGGGGTCGGATTGTGGGAAGTGCCAACGAGCTCCTTCACAGGACTGAAATTACAGAGTGTCAATAGCTGGGAAAATGTGTCTGGGATTTGCCAGAGAATCCAACTGATAAAAAACATGCTATCATCAAAGGGCAGCACACTTAGAGTAGTATCAGTTGTTTCCTCCCCGTCTTTCTTGGCTGTAAATGATCCCTGAACTCTCAAAGGTTCTGTTGGAGCGTTGTTTTGATAAATCAGACCCGCCTCTGCTCACTGATTGCTGTTATCACGTCCTTTTTTTGTTACTGCTGATATCAGATGCAGAGTAGGACATTGATAAAGGTAACTGTGGGTATTCATTAAAAAAAACAGTTGCCAGGTTGAAAATGTTAACTTCACTTTAAACAGTTCCCGTCAACTAAACAAAGTTTGTTTTTGTTTTGTTTTTTGCAGGTCTGGCGTTTGGACTCGGCATTGGGGCACTCGCTCAAGTGGCGAAGAAGAGCTTCAAACCCCAACAACAGCAAGGTGATAAGAGGAAATTGTTTTATCTGTGTCTGAAGGAGTTTTATGTGTTTTAATGATCATATTATCACTATAAAGACAAACATGGTCTCTCTTCATGTTGACGCTGTAGTCACTACCGTGCATATCATTTAAATGAGAGGACAGAATTAGCTTATATGTTGTGATCATTGATATCAATTATATGGTGTGTAGAGCAGCATGGAAATATAAAAGATGTATATGGTTTTGTGTGCTATAGAAATATAATAAAAAATGTGTCATACTTTTTTGTAAAAAAAAAAAAGGAAAAAAGTCAGTATAATGTCATAAAATGTTTTTAAAAAGTCATAATTTAGTATGATAAAAAAAAAGTTTAAAAAGTAATTGTATGTCATTAAAAAAAAAATCAATTTCAATCAGTTCAATTTTATTTATAGAGCCTGTGTTGCGTTCAGGCGTTGTCACGTAAGTGACAAATTCCAGCGCCATAGCACAACACAGCAGCATGTCAAGTGGGCCGAAACCGAGCAAAATTGCTCAATTTTTCATTTGTTATGGAGTCCATGATTTCCCTGTGACACTTACAAATGTTTGCTTAACTGTGCTTGGATGTTGTTTTATGAGGCTCTGGTGTCTTTCAGTTGTCTCATTGTCTTTAACGTTACACAGCTCGGCTTTCTCTCACATAAAATTCTTCCTACTTTTCCTTGTGCTGTCTCAAATGTTGATATAGATTGGTCGTGTTGCCGCGGGACGTGGCGACTTTAACTTTTAAACTTGTACATAGCACGTCTTTCAGGTACGGCGACGTTGGACAGAAAGACGTGCTGTGTAAGTTTAAACGTTAAAGTTGCCACGTCCCGTCTCAAGTGCTGATATAGATTGGTCGGGTTGCCGCGGGATGTGGCTACTTTAACTTTCACAGCATGTCTATTCAGCGTCACCGTACCTGAATCCAAAGTATTGCCATGTAACAGATGTTTTTTTTTTTGCCACCAACTCAGCCTGTTCATGGTCGTGCTCATGCTTTTCTTGCGTGCTCATGCGTTTGTGTTGGTCACTGCTGCACGCACCAGGATAGCTTGTGGCCGTGATGTCAGCAAACTCCACACAGTCACGTTCACAGGCAGTCACGTTAACATTTATTTACATTAAATCGAAAATCGCAGCCTTTTATGCGGTTATGTAATTGCACAGCCTGACATCGCGATTGCGATTAGATTAATCGTGCAGCACTAGTCACAATGAGACAGAAAGAGAGACAGAGAGAGAATGACAGAGACAGAGAGAGATGCAGGACAGACAGTAATGACAGTAGCTTACAACAACATTAATGAAAGTAATAATATTATAATTATAATTACGGCTATTGTGGTACAATATGTTGAAAGTGTGTGTAT